AGACGATGTATAAATCTCAATTTCGAAAAATTTACCCTTATGACTGGTTTTGTGGTCCAGGGTCACATGTGTGTGTGTGTGTGTGTGTGTGTGTGTGTGTGTGTGTGTGTGTGTGTGTGTCTATAGTTTTTATTAATTTTTGTTTTAGTTTTAGTTATTTTAGTACATTAAGTTAAACTCAATTAGAAGGAGAAATGTTACTGGAAACTAGCTGAAATAAAGTATTTTATATTTTGTTTTCTTTCAGTTACCATTTAATTTATGTCAAGTTATGAAAATTACTTTTTTTCATGGTTTTTATTTTCATTAACTGTTTTAGGTTTTTTATTTTAGTTTTTAATGGTTTCAATTTAACTTTCAGTTTCACTTAACTATAAAAAGTGTCTAAACACCCAATTATTTCGTCTGGTGCTGCTAGAGTGGAGCAGAAATTACACTGCAGCACAATTTACATTGAGTGCTATGGAGAAAGTTTTTACCTTTCAGACTAGCATACAAAAGCAGAATATCAATATGAACAATGAGAGGTATCTTACGATGTTGCCATCTGGCAAACTCAAATAAATTATAAATGATCAATCTAAGTAAAGATGAAAGGTTAAATATCCTTTTATTTATTTATTTTTACTACACACTTTCATGTTTTATCATCAAAAATGGTCCTACTTATTTTGTGTATAATCTATCTCAGATAAATGTGCCCATAAATGGCTTGTAAAAATTAAACTGTGACTGAATATTTTACATGTCAGACAGTCTCTAAATGGGTGGTTCTTGGCAAACAAGCTCCAATGAAGACCAGAACTTTTGCTGTTGAGTCCAGCTTTTCAGCAGCAGTGGCCTGATTAAGTCGAGTTACATCAATAATTAAAAGGCAGCTGGACATCGCTATACTGCAAACGCCATAAGTCATAATAAGTCAAAGTCATAATAAGAAAAATTAGGAAGTAGTTGTGCTACTTAAACCAAGTATTTAATTTAAGGGCCCGTTGGTCAGGCCAAGGAGTGCTTTTGTAAAAATATATAGAAAAGTGAAGGGACTGCTATACTAGACATCTTTTCCTAAGAGGACTTGATTATTTCTCTCTTTGAAACCTTATCCCTGTGATGGTTAGTCATAATCCTTTCTCCTTGTGGCGATGTACAGCAAGAGTCTCATTTTTCAGCTCTATTCAAAGGATTTGAGGTGGAACTCTGCTAAATGCTCTTGCCAGAAAACGTCTGGAGCAAACGCTCAGAGGCATACAGCAGATCTATTAAATGATACTGAGTTTCATCCAAAATAAGGGGTGAATCTCACCAAACCTGTCAAGATAATGTCAAACTCAAATTTCATTTTGACATTATTTTTGTGACAAGTACAGTCCGCCCTCATTTAAAGTTAAAAAAAGTATTCATTTTATTTATGCAACACATTTACAACATAATTTATATCATGTAATATACACTATCCATCTATCTATCTATCCATCCATCCATATCTATCTATCTACCTATCCATATCTATCCATCTATCTATCCATCCATCCATCCAGCCATCATCTATTCATCTATCTATCTATCCATCCATCCATCTATCTATCTATCTATCTATCTATCTATCTATCTATCTATCTATCTATCCATCCATCTATCCATATCTATCCATCTATAGATGGATAGATACATGGATACATGGATAGATGGATATACTGAACAAAATTATAAACGCAACACTTTTGTTTTTGCCCCCATTTTTCATGAGCTGAACTCAAAGATCTAAGACTTTTTCTATGTACACAAAAGGCTTATTTCTCTCAAATATTGTTCACAAATCTGTCTAAATCTGTGTTAGTGAGCACTTCTCCTTTGCCGAGATAATCCATCCACCTCACAGGTGTGGCATATCAAGATGCTGATTAGACAGCATGATTATTGCACAGGTGTGCCTTAGGCTGGCCACAATAAAAGGCCGCTCTAAAATGTGCAGTTTTATCACACAGCACAATGCCACAGATGTCGCAAGTTTTGAGGGAGCGTGCAATTGGCATGCTGACTGCAGGAATGTCCACCAGAGCTGTTGCCCGTGAATTGAATGTTTATTTCTCTACCATAAGCCGTCTCCAAAGGCGTTTCAGAGAATTTGGCAGTACATCTGGTTGGCCTTACAACCACAGACCACGTGTAACCACACCAGCCCAGGACCTCCACATCCAGCATCTTCACCTCCAAGACCAGCCACCCGGACAGGACCAACATTCCACAGGCCACAATCAACAACCTGATCAACTCTATGCGAAGGAGATGTGTTGCACTGCGTGAGGCAAATGGTGGTCACACCAGATACTGACTGGTTTTCGGACGCCCCCGGACCCCTCAATACAGTAAAACTGCACAATTTATTTTTCAGCTCATGAAAAATGGGGGCAAAAACAAAAGTGTTGCGTTTATAATTTTGTTCAGTATATCCATCTATCCATGTATCCATGTATCTATCTATCTATATATCCATCCATCCATTTATCCATATCTATCTATCTATCCATCCATCCATATTTCTATCCATCCATCCATGTATCCATGTATCTATCTATCTATCTATCTATCTATCTATCCATCCATCCATTTATCCATATCTATCTATCTATCTATCTATCCATCCATCCATCCATCCATATCTCTATCCATCTATCCATGTATCCATGTATCTATCTATCTATCTACCCATCCATCCATTTATCCATATCTATCTATCTATCTATCCATCCATCCATCCATCCATATCTCTATCCATCTATCCATGTATCTATCTATCTATCTACCCATCCATCCATTTATCCATATCTATCTATCTATCTATCCATCCATCCATCCATCCATATCTCTATCCATCTATCCATGTATCTATCTATCTATCTATCTATCTATCCATCCATCCATCCATCCATCCATCCATCCATATCCATCCATATCCATCCATCCATCCATCTATCCATATCTATCCATCTATCTATCTATCCATCCATCGATATATCCATATCTATCTATCCATCTCTATCTATCCATCCATCCATCCATCCATCTATCTGACCATTACATGTTTCCATGACATAATTTATATGGTGAGACAGCATTTTGCATTTCAATTACTCTTTAAATAAAAACAATAAATATATATATATTTTTTTTACAAGTAAATATTGATTCAAAATAATATGACACTCAATCAAATTGATTTCAAGTTCTGCAACTTAATAAAACGAAAAAAAAATGTTAGTTTTACAAAGCATTATCTATAAACCACTTCACTCAATGGGTTTCAAATATGACAGAAGTTGTTATATGATCTGTACATTGGATGACCAATACCAGAAACAATCTAGACATTCAGACAAGTCTAAATGATATCACCACACCCTTTATCTGAGCCAGAAACCCCTCCATCAGACAAAGGGTCTGAGACAAACAATAGAAACAAATCTGATACATTCATGATAAAGATGCATTTTGAAAGCAATATTTCAAACTATTTCAGACACTACAGTCACTAAATGTCTCAAAGCAGTATCAGCAAGGATGAACTGTGCTTAACTGAGCTCACAGAAACAAACTCGTGCACAGTTATTAAAGACATAACTGAACAGTGTGGATTAATAATGCTTCAGATTAGACATGTAAAATAATGTGTTTCTGACCTTAGCCACATTTACTGAAACCCCTTACAAAAATACCACAGTTACTACAGTTATCGTTCCTAAAGTAAAATAAATTAAAATCCTAAAATAAATAATATTTGTAAATAAATAGGCTTAGTGGCTAATACAAAGCTGTGAAAAAGTACATTATTTTGGTGAAGCAAGTACAGTGTTTTGGCAGAAACGCTGGTTACAATAGTAAATTGCACAGTGAATGTCCCGGTTGTATCATTGTATCTATTTGTGTAGTTTGTGCTCATAAATAAAGCAAATGGTTTTTAAATGGCAAATTCTGTCCTAGTCTGTAGCTGCATTAATCAAAATGAACTTTATTTAAAACAACAGAAGTCAGAAGCTGTGTGTGTACTTAATATATTTTGGGGGCATAATTGTACTAAGACAACCTTAAAATCTGACAAAACCAAAACCTCCTTTTGGGAAAGTCATCATTTGATAGATAGCTAGAACTAGCTACCCTGCTGAAGAAGAAGAAAAACAATAGAAACCATCACAGAAAATCTAATGGTTTCCACTACAAATACCATTACAAAACATCAACTTTTAACCATTAAAACATGGTTTCCCGTAGTGTGTTTTGGGACATATTCCATTAGGATTTAGTGGCATTAAAAAGCCAAACAAGCCACCAACAGAAGGCGACCAATACCAGTAACTGTTAGAGACCAACAGGGACCATTACAGTTTCTAGTAAAACCAATACAATTCCCATTATAACCAGTAAAACCAGAAGAAACATAACAATGTAACTTAGTTTTTATATTTATAACATACAGCCTAGTTAAGCGACATGATGCGACCAAGAGAGTGAAGTTTTCCCTGAAAACCACGATTGCAAATTTGACATTTTACACATGAGTTAAAACAAGTAGTTAATATACATTTTAGTTCGATATCTGAATTTATTGAAAGGACATATTGTCAACTTTGACTGTTTTTGCTCGATTAGTTTAATGAAAATAGTTCCGAACAAAGATCAGAGCAGAACAGTCGCGCATCTCTGAGCAACACACAGCGGTCTTTCGTTACTCAATGATTTGCGTTTTTGAATTTTGAATCATTTGAGTCAATGATTCAGTGGTCCATTCATAAAGACAGGTACTTGCTTCATTCTTGCTTCATCAGCCGTCTGAACGAATCGTTTGAAGGCATGCTTCAATGACTCATTAATTAAGACAGACACTTACTGCCACCTACTGGCAGTTTACTCTCATAGTAGTTTATCTTTGCATTTTTTCCAACATTTCATATTTGTATATTTAAAAAAAACTATTTCAAAACACCAAGCTCACAACATTATTTATGCTGTTATAATTTTGCCATCTAAATGCATTCGTGCTATATTTCAGCTACATTGAACTGTCTGTGTACAGTAAATGCATCTGAATGCCACAGTCACGTCTGTTTCTTCTGCAGTGGAAAGATCGGTTTTGTTGATACTAATTTAATTTAATTGGCAACAGCCCTCTATTGTCTTACTATATTAAGTGAAATTATTAATAAAATGTAAGAATTTGATATGAAAGATGATGCATGCATTTAATACGGTTAGGGAAAAATGACAAAAAAATTTTGTATGCAGTATTAAGTCATATAAAATGTAATTTCCCAACAACAAAATTGTGGCCAGTGAAAATGCTGAGTGGCTAGTACATTTGGAAAACCACTAGCCACAGTGGCTGGTGAGCAAAAAAGTTAGCCAAGCCCTCTAATATATATATATATATATATATATATATATCCTAATGTCCCCATTTAGATAGTTAGGTAAACGCGCGCTGTGTGAGTGAGTGAGTGAGTGAGTGTGAGTGAGTTTGAGTGAGTGAGTGAGTGAGTGAGTGTGTGAGTGAGTGAGTTAGTGAGTGAGTGTGTGTGTGAGTGTGTGTGTGTGTGTGTGTGTGAGTGTGTGTAAAGCTCGAGACACACTGCACGATTTCCAGCTGTCCCAGACGAAAGATTGGCATCGTGAAACAATCGTGGCGAATCAGCAGTGTCTCGGGCTTAAGAGAGAGCCAGTGTGAATGCTGTCTAGCACATGCTTGAGGAGGATTGTCCCAGCAACCACAGCACGTTATTCCAACGCTTGTGAGAGAGGAGAGCAATGCTCCCAACAGCTACCCACATGATCACATTAAAGTTAACATTACATGGACTAGTCACCAGCGGGTTAATACATCAGTGAACACAGAAACAAGCAAGGCAAAACTCTGTTAATACTCATTAAAACCTACCTTACGTGAACTCTTCCTTGCAGAAGCTGCTATAAAGATTTCCCCCGAAACAGGCAAAATTCCGCAAAGTGGTGCGTGGGAAAAGAAGAGCGCTTGATAAACATGATCCAAACTGCGCAATGAAGTGAGGAGGAGGAGTAATTGTTATTCATGTGCCATCCAGCGGCGAAGAGTGAGACTTCATCACAACCAGACAGAGCATTCGCACTCCTCGCTGCAGAACACAAGATCCAGGGGGCGGGGTTAGATCTCCTCACACTGCATTTTGATTGGACATATGGCAGATTCACGTCATACTTACTCGCGCTGTAAAAGTTGTGAAGTACTATCGTTTCCGCATCGAGTCGTAAATAAAGTTATTCTTGTGACGGAAAAAACAAACTTGCTAAAACATTTTTTTTAAATAACGTTTTAAATGCTTAGTTACAAACACTGTAGTTTGTACAATGTGGGAATGGGCACAGATAATTACGGGCAATAACCAAATATTTTCATTTGGAGAAACGTTTGCATTAACTTCAAAACATTCTGAGTCTGCCTACCAAAATACAAATAGAATCTTACGTTTCTCCATCCCTGAAAATCCCGTAGTTTCTTGTTACATGTGAGAATAAATATTTCTTAAAAACAAGTGCATTCTTTGATTGGCTGATTCTTCACTCCTCTCAGTAGTCCACTTTGACTTCAAATACTTGCGTAGATTAAGAAGTAGCCACATCTGCTTTTATTGGAGTGATGTTAAATCAAGTTTCTACTTGAAGTAGAAAATATGTGTGCTTTGCACCGATTATGCACATTATTATAAAACTGTATATGACTAAAGTATAGCAGCACTGTCAGGTTGTCTTCTGTAATTTTTTATTTATAAATTGCTTCTCAATGGCATCTGACTTAATTTACATAATCTCACTTAAATAAATGCATGCAAAATGCATTACCAACACAATGAAATAGAAAAAAACCATGAACACACAACAGAATAACATACCAACATTAGCGGCATTCAAAATGAGAACTCGCACAGAATTAAATGATAAATCACTCCTTCATCTTTCATACTGCTCTGCAGCCACTGCATCATGCACACAACACACTCAAATAAGAGCACAGATTTAGCAGAACTCGCTGCAGAAGTCTGGGTGGGTGTCTTCACGAATAATAAGTTCCCCCTTTCTTCCTCGACCTACAGATCCTACAGGTTTGCAAAGAAAGGAAACAACGAAAAGAAATATTTCAATGTTCATCATTTTTCTAATGTTTTAATTCATCTTTGAAAGCTAAACACTCCATGGCAACAACTAACAATGCATACCTGGAGTGAATATGTCTCCACACTGCATACAAGTTTCCAGTCGTTACGTTTTGTAGTGCTCTGCCTTGTAGCATGTGGAGAAAGCAGTCCAATTTGTGACTCCTGTACACATGTGAAAGTACACGCATTCAAAAACCCACAAGGCTGGAGTTCATTAACCAGCCGTTCAAGAATCTCTTAAGATTTGTATAAAAATATGCAACAAGTTATGCAAAAACTACTAGTTACGCATCAATAAAAATGTCCTCCAGAACAGATGCTGGCAACTGTGAAATATGAAAAAATACGAAAGAGAAGATATTGGCCCCAATGCCCCGTTCTGGAATGTATCTGTCTTTGTTCTTGGTATACATGCATGTAGTGTGTAGAAATGAAAGGATAGCAGCCCGTCTGTTTTCATTGTGAAGTAACTAACAGGGTGATCCTGACACAGATGAAGTCAAGATCACATAAACACCACTCCCTGTGCAACAAATACAAACACCAGTATTAACACCAGAGTTAACATTTCTGAAACGTACAATTGCTAGTGACTCGGACATTATACCGCAAGAATCCCATGGTCCTTGGGACAACCATACATGTAGTCCACTTGATTCTCCTTGAGGCTTCCCTGTAACACAGTAAATGGTGTCAGAAAAAAAAAGTGAAAACTTTGGAAAGACAGCATTGTTTTGCAAATCTGGTTCTCACCTTTTATGGCTCAAGCACTTCAATACTAGGTTTAGCCAGCACTCTCGAATGTAAGGCATGTCGTTCTAAGGAAAGGACAAAAAAACTGAGGCAAACTGAAAGAGACATCAACTAATTTCTGTAATAAATTCAAGGCTCTCCCCTGGGTGAAATCAAATGGCCACTCAAAAGTAATGTATAATGCATACTGTAAGACATAGTTTTTTTATATTATATACATTTCCTAGCACTCACATATTCTTCCTATACCTATTGCCTTTGAATTGCCACTAATAAAATCCCCAAAGTCAGGTAACCCACTGGGCACAGTTACGTCCAGTGGATGTCTTTTTGAAGTCTTTGCACATGTTGAAAAGATGTCCACTGAGGAGCCAGAATAAACGTTTTTATGACGTCTTTTTTTGACATGTTCTGCGCGTCCGATATAGACATTCATGGAACCTCTGTACAAGGTTAAAACTAGTTCAAATGTGGTCAGTGGACATTTTTAACATAATTTAAGGTTCATTTAGACATAATTTATACTGTTTCTGGACCAAATAAACACTCTCGGTGATGCATTAGATTTAAACTCATGTTATTTCAATGTTATTTCTATTTGTAATTGCAAAGCAACTCACAGACACTGTGTTTGTCAAAAATCATGGGAATAAAAGAATCTAAACTGAAAGTGTTGAAGTTAGTGCTGAAGTTGTCAGATGCTCATTTTGTGATGATTTTTATCATCTTCCACAAAGAGCTAATAACACCTGATTTCGCTTTATTTTGGCCTCTTTTGCAGCAACTATTGTGCTTCACAAAAACACAGTTACAGCAGCTAAAAAAAGCTAACACAAGAAGTATGATGACCAAGATCCCAACTAAAGCAAACACTGTCCACCACAATGGTGACTTCAAATGAACCAAATCCCAACATCTAAACCTCTGTTAATTCTCAATAAGAGCTTCTCTAGATGTCTGACAGAAATAAAGTCAATCTAATGAGTGAAGCTGGTGATGCTGTTTGTGGAGATGTTTGATCCTCCTCTGCTGAGATCTTGAGAGATTTAATGTCTTTTATTTGCAGTTGATTTTACCAAATGCTCAATCATCAGTTATTTGATCATTTAATTATCTCATAAACTTCAACACTGTTTCAGTGAAGATTCTTTTATTTTCATGATTTTTGGACACAGTGTCTGTGAGTTGCTTTGCCATTACAAATAGAAATAACATTGAAATAACATGAGTTTAAATCTAATGCATCACTGAGAGTGTTCATTTGGTCCAGAAACAGTATAAATTATGTCTAAATGAACCTTAAATTATGTTGAAAATAATGTCCAATGACCACATTTGAACTAGTTTTTAATCTTGTATGGAGGTGCCATGAATGTATTGGACGCGCAGAACATGTAAAAAAAAAACGTCATACAAACTTTCCTTCTGGCTCCTCAGTGGACGTCTTTTCAACATGTGCAAAGACTTCAAAAAGACATCCACTGGACGTAACTTTGCCCAGTGGGAAGGTTAACTTGCAGCTTCATTTGTAACATACCATTAGCATGAACACTCCACAGTCCAAGCTGTCTCTCTGCGATGGAATATCCTGGCAAAAACCCAAAACTTACTATATACATTTTGTATTGATTACAGTTGTCAGAAAGCAGTGTTGAATGCTGAGTGCTTTATGTACCTTGTTTTTAACGAGCTGCCAGTTTCCAGCAACCAATTTTTTTGCGATCATGCTTCAAAAGAGAACAGATACACAGTTAAAACTTCTTAAAAGCTGAAAACAGTTTTAAACGCACAATCCACCTCTATAGGTCTGATTCTGACAACCCGCTGATTGGCTTGCAGCAGCAAGTTTGACATGTACTGTGTGGGAAAGCATATACACGCAGAAAGCAAACACAATAATAAAAAAAAAGAAAAGAAAAATGCTCAGAGATGGTCTTCACTTCCACTTACATCCTGATTCATCTCCTACATGCCATTCTTTCATTGGTTGACTAGGCCTAAACCCAATCTTTATATAACCTGCCTAGTGCAAACTACTGAATTTCAGCAGATTTGGGCGTAGAAGCAGGATTTTCAAAATGGAAAGTGAGAATAGCCACATTTCGAAATAAACCAGTCTCAGTCTTTATGATAGAGATAGTGTTGGATCTTTTAAGCAAGGACCATCACATCAGCAAACATTAAAAAGTACACAAACAGTAGTTAATACCTCCAAAACTTTGCACTTAACAGCGGACGACAAAGAACAGTCCCTAAACATTAGAAGAAAACCTGAACATGGACACATAATACGCCTGCCCAAAACCACAAGGGTCGTACGAATCAAGAATGTACATCCTTTTAAGATTGGGCTTCATGACCTGTGAATATATGTAAATCAATCAAATGTTGACGGACCAGTGCATTGGTCTTGTATATTCCACGTACAGCTTATTCACTCCTCATCAGAGCGGACAAAAAACTGCACCACGTCTGTCTTCAACACCTATTTAAAATGCTAAACGATGACAACTGACCGTCAAAACAAGTGCCAGTGTCCAAGTGTCCATATCGGAAATAGGATGCTGTCTTTAAGTGCTGCATCTGCCTGTTGATGACAACTTTTGCTATAACAAATGTGCTTCAGAAACACACAGTTAGGACAGTCAAAGAAAAAATTAAAGTTACGACGTCAAGGGCCGACTAAAGCAAGCACTTATCTCCATAACGGTGACTTCAAACTTTATTATTTTCAATAAAACAGCGCTCAGGCTTCCTGGAGGCTAAGTGAGGGCTGCCCGTGCAGGGCCAGTGCCAAGGGGCCAACGTTTTGCCAATGAGCAAATTCTCAGGGGTCCTGCGCTGGCAGCCCGTAAAGGGCCAGTGCAGGCTTGTTTGCAGGGAAACTATTTCGGCAGTCACGGATGCCCAGAAGTCTTTCATATTGACTCGACTATCATACTCAGGTGGTGGAGCAGGAATGTCACTCACTGCAATAAAAATTCTCAATGAAACAAAGAACATGTATTTTTAATATTATTAGGTAGCTCTAATTTTGATATGACCTACCAGGCATATTAAATGTCGCCTTTTTGTGAAGATCCATCACAACAACTGCTGGATGGTAGCCGCACTTAACACAGGAGTATGTGTATTTGTGGTCTGTTAGTGCTTCAAAATGCATGTACGCATGAAGGATTTTGTCTTTACTAAGGATTTGCGTGTCGTTGTGTTGTGTGGTCTCCAAAACCTCGAGAGAGTTGCGACACGCTTTGATCTCGCTGTCACGTGGTTCATGGAGCGCTCAATAGTTCCAAACAACTCCGCGCTGTCAATATGTTTAAATGGGTTTAAGTAGGATAGACAGCAGTTTCACTATATTTGCAGCAATTTCTAGTGATTATTAACACATCATGTGTGCATTGATTGTGTATTGATAACTACACTGACTACGTTTTACAATCGCATTTTATTCTGGGGAGTGATGAAGAGACAGCATTAATATTTTTTCTAATACGCTTATTATTTATATTACAATTAGTGTAGTATTTAGGGTTAAAGTAGAGAAAATGTTTTTAAATTCCAGTGCAAAGAGGCAAATTAGAGACGTTTGGTAATATTGCTATGTAATGCCATGGTTTAACCACTAGCCTACATATATTTAGCTCTACTCTAGTTGCTGTAAAGAGTTTTACCGGTCATAATAGCTTATTTATTTATTTTATGTTTTGTATTGTATATTTTAGACATCATCAAACACTCAATGTTCATAAGTTTTGCTATTTTTTAAATGTTGAATTTAAAAAGATTAATTACTCGCATTCCAGTATTATTTTATGACATT